ACTACTACCACTACCACTACCATTACGACTACTATCATTGCTATTACTACTATTACTCTTACTCTTACTACTACTGTTATTATTATTGCTGCTGCTTTTGCTATCGCTGCTACTAACCCTACCACTGACACTACTGCTATGACTGCTGCTGCTGCTACTACTCCTTCTGCAGTAGTTAACTCCTTTTGCTATTACCAGTACTACCAGTATTTTTATTTATTGTTTTTATCATTAGTGGTAGTATATTTTTTCCTAGTACTACTTCTGCTGCTGCTGCTACTACTACTACTACTACTACTACTACTACTACTACTGCGACTTGTGCTGCTGCTGCTACTACTGCTACTATTGCTACTCTTGCCACTACTGCTATTATTGCTACTACTGCTAGTACTAGTACTAGTGCCAGTACTAGCACTAGTACTAGCATTGACGTACTTGTAACTAGTACTAGTACTTCTACATCCTGGAAGACATTTTGCTCCGCGAAGATGGGATCTGAAGTTGGTCGTGTTTCACCGCTGGGCATGTCGCCAAATGCAAAGGTGTCGAGAGCTTGTCTGGCCTGTCCATGTCGCAGGCGCAACATGTGTGTGGCTTCAACGGTGGCGTTGTGTGTGTGTGTGTTACTCCAAATTTTGTGTCGATCGGTGCAAAAGCCAGGTCGCACTGGGGCTGATGCATTCTGTCACGATGCCCTGGTCTCGATCCGCGGATTGAAGCGACAGAGAAGCTTGATATCAGGTGAGTTGCCTTCAGGACATCTTTTCAGCACGGTGTTGCCCAGCAACAGAACCTTCACACACCGAAGCACTGCAGGTCGGTCAAAGGGCAGCTGTACACTTGGGGGAAGGGTGCCGCCACTGGCTTCGATGTCGGGGAGGTGATCCCCACGCCGCGGCAGGCCACCCGGGAGTGAGTGAACAACGAGAAGTGAGGAGACACAAGCAGCCACTAGCGCTTCTTTGTCCGGCTCTCGGTCTCTCTCTCTCTCTCTCTCCCTGTCGAGTCTTGTGTTTCTCAGCACGTGTACCTGACGGCGAATCCATGCACGATGTTGCTTGTGTTCTGACGTTAAGTTTTTTCGACCAGCATGCTTCGGAGCCAGGTGAAGCTAGAGTCGCGCGATCCCGCAGTGTGCTCAGCAATTACGCGGAAACGGTAAACACAGATGTTTGTGCTTTGGGTTTCGATGTTCGCGGGCGAGAAGGGCCCAAGGATCCCAGCAAAGTTGAAGATCTGAAAACGCAGACACAGCAATCTGAGCTTCAAGTGAGTGATGGTGGTCGGGGTTGAATGAAACTTGGCGGGAGAAAGCCCTTGCTGTAGCGCTGGAAACATCGCGCCGATGCTGTTCCGAGGTTTACCAGATCGCTGCTGGCCCGTTGCACACAGCTCGAGCCTGGAAGCACGTTGCAAGAAGCAGTCGCTCTCACTCTCTTCAGTCTTCTCTTCACAATTTCCTTCAAAAGCTTCTCAGGTGGTTCTCATGCAGAAAGGCGACATCCTTTGCTTTGGCTCTGGCACCGAGGGCCGCCTGCCCTTCAGGCGAATCCCAAGCCAAGCCAAAGCGCCCTAGGCCCTAGGCCGCCCTAGGCAAGCCTTGGTGAAGCGGCACCGGGACGTAGTACAGCGGCAACCAACAGCGCAGGGACTACGACGGCAGCGTGGTGGACTTCCCTCTGCCGACCATGCTGAATCTTCCAGATCTCAAGTTGAAGGTGTGCATCTGCAGGGCTAGCTAAAAGCTGGCACGTGGTTTTGAAGCCGTTTTTGCGGCTTGCCGAAGAGTCCGAGTGTCCATTCTGCAGCTGATGCGCTCTTTCCCTGAGGGCTGGGCAGCCGAGAATGACAAGGCCATCCAGGCCTCCCAAAGCCAGAATCGCGAGGCCACATGGTGGCCCTCAAGGACGGCCTCCTACCGTGCCAGCAGACAGTCGTCTTTAGAGCCAGGCTTTGGGAGTGTTTCGGGCAAAGCAGTCTTATGCGTGCTTTGAAGGATGTGCTGCGGCTCCGGGAGCTCGGCGATTCTGACAGGCACGGGCCGCGGGAAGCTGTGCCCGGCGGCCAGTGGTGAACTTTGGAGGAAGCTTTGCAAGGCAATAGGCGACGTTATTCATTTGTTCCGATTCTTGTTTGTAACTAGGACAATTAGGGAGCATCTAACACAACTTGACGAAAGCCATGAATTTCTAGACATTTTGGGTTCAGGGCTGCGGGGCGCAGAAGCGATGCAACAGCAGGCATGACCTTCTTGCAGGGTGGGCCAATCTGTCTAGTAGCTTGGGACAACTTCGCATTTTCCCGCAGCCACTAGGGTCCAAGCTCCCAAGGAGCTAAGGGCAACGGCAGGTGGACCCTTTGTCCAGGATGCCAATGTGGGGTGGGAGCCCGACAGGTAGTGTGGATAGGGAAAGAGTTGATGTTCGAACTTACTACCCATTTTCAGTAGCTTTGCAGGTCTTGCATTGTGTGGCTTGATGTTCGAGCAGAAGCCGGGCAAGGGACAAAGACGCGCGTCAATTGCTCCTGCTCCCACATTGGCGAGCTGCAAGAAGTGCACTTTAGAATCAACGCCATCTGTGTCGGTGGTCTTGCACCTTGCATCACCTTTCCTCCGAATGGATTGACCGGTGCTGCTCGGCTTGCTCGCAATGCAGCAATGCAATGCCGCGTGTTTGTGGTCGTGTCGTGCGAGGAGTTGCCAGGAACGCCCATGCTGGAACTAAGGTTGTTGGGGTGCAGTCCCAGGCTCTGGCTCGGGCTGAACGCTGAGATCACGCGAGCTAATGGGTGTCGCTCGAATCAAGTTTGGCATGGTGTTGTGGTTGGTGCTGTAGAAGTCCAGGGTGCCCCAGCTGAAGCTCGAGCCATTGCAGAACGAGCGCACCAGGTACCTGGTACATTGGCACTGCTGTGCTTCGCTCTGGCGTGGCTTGGTCAGATGCAACAGTGTCCCGGTCTTCAGAGCCAAGAGGGCATGCGATTGATCAGGTGGCGCGTCGTGCGGCCTACCTCGACATGGCTCGTGGTCGATGCCGATGACTACGTAGATGTCTTCCTGAACGGGTGAATAGGCCGCAGAAGCAGAGCATCGCGAAATTTTGAGCTTCAGGACTTCATCCAGCTTTGATTCTTGATCATCTTGCAAGTTTGTCTCAGTTGGAACCATTACAACTGACGAAGGACTCCAAACAGGCGCACCGGAGGTTTGACATAATCTCCATTTGCGGAGCTAAGCCCAAAGGTCCGTGTCTAAGCCCATGTGATACACACTTTCGGAATTCAAGCAGCCGAGGAATTTCGTTCTCCCTGACATCTCTGCAACATTGATCCCTTTGATGCTTGTCGCCGTTGCGAGGAGCTAGTAGTGTTCGCATGCCGTGCTGAGTCCTGGTGTGCGAGCCACGTGCATGCTTGCGTGCATTGGTGGGCGTGCGGGTACCTGATATGAGAGCCGATCACTCCCACATACCTGCATCTGCAAAGGTGACCAGGCTAAGCCCTAAAGCTGGCAAGTCCAGAAGACAATTAGGCTCTATAGGCCGCTTCCAGCTTCTGCGCCCGTTATTGGTTCTGAACCTAGAGCTTGGCTCTATACAGACATTATGGTCACAGGTCGGAGGCTGCGGATGAATGCGTAAGTGTGTTCCAGGAGGTTCAAGGGTTCATCTTTGCAAGTGCTCATCGCACTACCTGGTAGCCCAAACTCCCATTCCGGCCTGGTGTTGGTACGGTATGGCATGGTTCGATCCCACTAATTAAACCCCACAGATCACCCGATCCAAAAATAGGCCACTGGCCATGGCGTTGCATTGTTCAGACAGACCGTGCATACGTCATGTTTGATGCAGGCCCCCTGTTTTTTGGAGTCCGATCCGACGCTTTCATCCTGCAGCCGAATCAGATCTTTTGCCAGTGTCGTTTGCTGTTAAGTGAAGTTTTCCCATGGGAACAGGAAATGATTTCCGTGTACCTGTAGTTCAGCTACTGGGCATTGACACGTGCAGTTAGGGGGTCGCAGCCATTCCGTGGGTCTGGCGGGGACAAGACCCAATCCCGACCGTGACATTAGATTAGCGGTTGAAGCTCGGGAATGCGTTCAAACACCAAAAGAAAGCTGAAGTAAAAGCCTCTGTTTTGTTTTTGTTGTGTGTGTGTGGGGGGGACTTTGTTACCACAGGAGACAAGACCCAGTGCCCATGTGGCACCAAGATTGGATTAACTGTTTTCTGATCGCAGGTGCAAATAAGCACCTGCTGCAAGTAGCGGCCTACTTGGCTCGTTGTGTGTGTGTGTGTGTGTGTGCGTGTGTGGAACCCTGTTACCACGGGACTTGCAAAAAGGAGTGCGAGGGGCTACCACCCCATGAATGCAGTTGCTGGTGCAAGAAAGAGAGGTGCATTCCTGGCCGATATGGGAGCTTGATCACGCCCAAGCTAAGTCATGAACCTGGCAAATCAAACCGGTGAAAACACTGAGGCTATTCAGGCCAGTTCCATGTTCTGAATCAGTTTTTCATTCTGAACATAGAGCTTGGTCCCATACGGACAGTTAAAGAAATAGGTCGGAGGTTGCGGATGAATCCATAGGTAGCAGTTTGTGTGTGTGTGTGTGTGTCTCTCTCTTTCTCTCTGTCTCTCTCTCTCTCTCTCTGTCTGTGTCCATGTGTGTTTTTGCGCGCGTGTTTCCAGAGGATTTGGTTTGAAATTGTAGCAGCAGCAAAGACAACCCCGTTAGCATAGCTGGTTGCCCAACGAAGAGGGTCCGCTACGCTTTGCTGAACCCACCGGGCCCACCGTTCCTGCTTCTGCACAGCACGGGATGAAGCTTCTGCATAGCACGGGACTAAGTTTAGCACCCCGAATGATTGAGGCAGCTTCTTCACAGTAGGCGTTGTGTCAGGTCAGAATCCCAATGCATTGAGTCATGTTGCCCAGCTGTTTGCAGTTCGCAGCGATTATACCTCCAGGGGTTTTGCTGTCTGAGCCTCGGCAAACAGACACGAAAAACAACAAGCAGAAGGATGTATGAGAGTGAGGATTGCACAAGTGTGCGCTTTGCATGGCTGCTGTACATGGGTTAACAGAACTTTCCAGGGAGGAGCGGTCAGCACTTCAACCCCAAGCTGTGCCTACGAGGCAGGCAATGGATCAGGTGGAAGGGAGTCTGCACGCAGATGCTTGTAAGTATTGTAGCCGCAAAGTTTGCAAAGCGGCGCCAGGCAGGCTCACACGATTGCCTTGCTTGACTTTGGGACCTGTCATGACATCGTCATGGCTTGTCATGGCCATGGCATGACTTGCACATTCCTTTGCAGGTTCCAGAAGCCAGCACACGAACGGTCATTATACTCCCGATGGTGATTCGTCACTGTTTTCCTTAGTAACGGAGGCCACAACATCTCGACGCAACAAGACCATCCAAAGTGCGTATTTTCCCGTGCTCCCCTGGCCGTGTTTTGATTCCACAATCGCACGACTAGGCTGAAAAAACGGGGCTTGCGGCGCAGTCTGAAAAAATAAATGATCTTCGGCGACGGCCACGCTGTAACAGCTCGTTTGGCTCTTAGTTCTCAGCCGGGACCAAAAGACCGAGTTCCGGGCCGAGGCTCTTATGAATCAAAAACGCTAGTCAACCCCAGAAGGCAAGGAGATTTGCGTCACGAAGGCAACCTTCTACGTTTTACTAAGGAACGGTGTGCGACGTGTTCTGGCGGAGGAGGTCACTGCAAAAGTTTGTTGGCAGCAGTGAATTGACTCTGATTCGGTCAAAGCGACAGCAATTGGCACCCAAACGACAAGGTCATCGTCTTCCCGTTGGGTATGAATCCCGGAGACCTTTTGGCGGTGCGGGTCTTGACCTCGAGGCCTGCGTCGGCCTGCGTGTGCTGGAAGTGCAAGTCAGAGCCAGTCTCGCGAATCTCAGGCCGCAGCTGGTGAACGTGACTGACCCTGTGGGCAAAGTGACGCAGTTCCCGGCCCCGCCGGGAATAATAATGGCAGCACAAAACGGTGTGAAGCCTGGGCTGTTTTGGCTTGGGGGATTATGGCCGAGTGAGTTGGAATGGTTCATACGCCTTAGGGCCTTAGGAAGACTTCGCAGCCCGAAGCCTAGCTGCTAGGCAAGCTCGTTTGAGTCCAGCTTTCCTCTCTGCCGAGGATGACATCGATGGCTTTCAAGTGCAGCACCGAGGAGAAAGCCAGGGATGAACAGAGGACTCCATTCTTCTACCCTGCGCCTCGTGCAAGACGAGCAGCTTCATTTTGGCACTGGTGGTCAGTTTTGGCAAACACGGGCATCGAGGGATTCCAAAGATAGGACCATTTAGAAAGACGCAGGCCGCAGGCCCTTCACTCTGAGACTGATCACAGCAGGGCTCATTGCCAATGGTTAGCGTAGACTGGCTGAGGATTTCAACGACAGCCACTGGCCTGCTGCATCGGAGCTCTTCGGCAGACTCAGTCTTGCCAGGACTTGTACCACCTTTCAAGACCAGTTTGTTGAACCAGAGCCCTTGGACTGGTTCTAACCTTTCGACTTGTTAATTCCAAAGTAGATTGCACCCTCTCCGCTCCAGCACAATCGCGAACCGCGCGAGGCAACAAGAAGGCTGCTGCCCTTGGCGGGATCCTTTCGACATCTGGGGCCGCCTCAATGCCAAGTGGATTGGTCTCAACCCCGCCACCTTCGTGTGACTCGGATGTGTCGAGCAGTATGAGGAAGATAGGGTCTTCTTCTTGACGCTAATCCTTCCAGTACCCGCACCGTGCGTTTACAGCCTCGTTGGTGCGATGCCTTCGCGCTTTAAAGAAGCAGCTCCAGGAACATTTCTGGGCCTCGCAACTTCAACTGCCGCTACCGGATCCCAGGACCAGCGCACTAGCGCTGAGTTTTCAATAGCTTGGGTGGCCGGAACTCGGAAGCCGGCGATCCCGGCGAATCTCACGTAGCCCTGGCCCGGGGTTATTCAGGCTTTCTGTATGCTTCTTTTCTTCGCTGTTTCCTCCCCATGAAATCACTTGTTCTATGTGGTC